TTTGGCCTCAGCCGTCGCCGGTTGATGTATCAAGACTGAGCTGAGCAGAGTGATTAATACACGCCAGACAGGCTATCCATTCGACGACGACATCCACGAATTCTATGCATCATTACAACCCCTTGCCCCCGTATACAGGAGCTTTCTCAGGCGGCTCTACGGATTCCATTAGTCTAACGACACCCATTGCCCGTGTTATGAGGCGCTCAACGAGATCTCATTAGAAACTCGACAGCGACGCCTTCGAACTCCACTTCAATCGGATGTCCCTCGTGCTGATGGTCTGACTGTCATCGACGTCGCTCTCTCTCGCTCGCGCTAGGGGGGCGACAATCTCCGGTGACCATTCAGGTGGAAACCTGCCAGTGTACGTTTGTCATCTCGGTCTTCTGTTATCTGATTCAACAATTATAATGGCGTATGCCGAGTGCGTCCATCCAATTAGCGCTAAAGAACGGTCTCGCCGCATTTCTTGTGAGCGACCGACTTGGGGTACCGCAGTCGTAGGGGTTTTGGGATGCCATTAGTCGGGAAAAAGGGGCAAGCAGGTGTGGGGGAGTTCGCGCCGTCGTCGTCGATCGTCGCGTCAGTCGCGCGTCAGATGCGGTGTACGTCGTGTGTGTCGGTGCGCGGACGTGGAATTGCGTGTGACACGGGAGTGATTGGCAACGACACACACAGACGGATGAACGCAGCTAGCGAACCTGACACTCTGCCGCCTCGTATAAGACATCGCCACTGGATGTGAATACGTCCGATGACTGGCCATGTGTGTGTGTGTGCACACTCTCCCCCTTTTCATCCATCCAGAGCCAGGACCACCTCGTCGCCAAGCACCCCGTTTTCTGTAGTCAGCAGGACATTCCTGCCCTTTTCAGAGCGTTGCTATCCTCGATAAAGGCTACCCTGGGGCAAAAATAGGCGAATTGGAGTAATGGCATTCCAACCCTCTACGGCTTCACTTTGACTTCATTAAGGTACCAGAACCAGTCATAGACCTTGGGAAGGGGGCTCCTTCGCTGGTAACTCCCCCCCCCTCGCGCCTAACAAGGATCTAGTGTGGGACTCGAGAGTTCTGACAAGGGTATTTAGGTAGAAACGTCACTGGATCACATCAAGAAGTGACAACGGGAACAAAAAGGAACACTGGGTGTACACTAGGTGTGTTCTCGGATCCTGGCTGAGCTGGCTGAGCTAAAGGCGACATTTCTAAGCACATTTAGAGCACACAATCCTATAATCTTTGTTTGTCGAAGCAATATCCTGAGCGAAATGAAGGTGGTAGGATCAATAGAACCTTGAAGGGATGCGGACCGAAATCCAAAAATCATCAAGGAGCTTTAAGCTCCATCCTCTTAACGCTTTATCGGGAATTGTTTACCTTACGTTTGCTCGGCGAAAATCTTCTCTTCATACTTTCTTCTCATGATTTCTTCTTCATATATGATGATTTTCAGAATCCCAAAGGATTCGGAATGGTTCTTCTCCCAATCCTTCTGTAATATTATAACATACTTTTATATGATTGATATTTCCAGCTTTCCGATTTTTTCCGCGAAATTTACTGAAAGCCAAAAATCTGGTCGCTATTGCTACTGGCTTTACGAAGTTACTGCCGAGTTGTTTACGGCAGCCTACCGAGAAGTCACCCAACTGATTGGGATAGCCCAGGGATTAGTAGAAAATGACCCGACATCTTCTTTCGCCGGTCGAAGTGTGTGTTCTGGGTCTAGGTTTCCCCCAATTACTCCCGTAGGTAGTCGATATTTGGCTCAAATTATGCCCAGTTTCATAAATTGTTTTAGTGCTGTATTATTCAGCTTGATTACTATCTTCAGGATCGAGAAAAAGTGTTCATTCCTAATGCGTGACTTACCAGTTCTCCTTCGACTTCCATCTTTGCTAGTTCTTCAGTAGTAAGCCCTGTGGAAGTGAAGCGTGGCGTCCAGGGAACGTACGACCGGCCGAGGGCGTACATTGAGATCTATGTAGCGTAGCTATCTCTAGTTCGTGATCTTCTTGTCGATGCATGCGTGGTAGGTTTAGTGGTCTCTAAACAATTGCCTCTGAAAGCCTTTTTGGAAGTGTCGAAAGGCAGGGCTCAAATAAATTTATTCAGGTTTATTCATAGGTTCAGGTGATTATTTGAACGGTTCAGAGTCATTTGTCTGCTCTATTCAGTACTACTTGGGCGCTCCTTCTTTTGAGTATTTCAATTTGCTCCTATAGGATCATCCTTATTTCCTGCTTATTTCCTCTATTTTCTTTGTGGTTTTTCTTGTCTTTGCTAAGGGTCGTGTTAGGTTTCAGACAATTTTTCCACGGCCTAATGTTTCGACGCAGTCACCATCCCTTTCGAAATAGGGCTGTGAGAGCTGTGAAGCTCGCCTGCTTAGCTATCGCTCCAATTTTAGGCCCAACTTCAGTTTTACAGAGACTAAAAGCAAGCTTCTGTCGGCCCGTTAAACCTTGAGCCCTGACTGAGCCTCCAGAGCCATTTATGCTCGTCGAACTACTGCATTTGGCCTTGCAAAATTGGAGCTGATAGGGCCATATCAAATCGAAGGGTGAAACCGAGCCTTAGCGCCCTGGTCCGACTCTCGAATGTTGCTGTCCCGAAGAGGTTAAGCTATGGGGATATCCTTTACGTAGATATGGCACAAGGATCGGATGGAGCTGGGATGACGAGGTGGGCGCGGCGGTTATCAGGCGTCTTTGTGTGGAGCACTGAGTGACACATCATTTGCAAGCGAATCGGCTGTCATTTACACGTATGTATCGTAGCTCCTTAGTCAATCATCTGTCATGAACCTGCCCTGCCTGCTCCTTTCACTCGAGTTGGTCAGATAGACAGCGCGGCTGCAGCGAACAAGATGACGAGAGCGAGCGACACCACGACATCACGCTACGGTCCCGCCCTCCTTCCTCCGGTGACCGCCTCCTTCCCTTCGCGGACCAGATGTCCTCATTTGATCTTCGCCGAGTCGTGTTCAGTTTCATTTTCATTTCAACTTTCATTTCCGCTCGTGTCTATAATATGATCGCTGGTAAAGGCGTCATCTTCCCTTTCGATTGGCAGCTTCTTATCGCACCGACCGGAGTGATGTCCGCTCAGACTGTCAGTCTGGCCGAGACGGCTGAATTCGACACTCCTCGCCGTCATCGTCCATGACGTGCCGCGGCCACCAGACCTTTCTGTTCGTTTGCATGCCTGTTCGTTCCCTGAACCTGCGTCCCTCTAGGAAACTTAGATATTTTTGCTCAGACTGGATTTTTTCCTCCACGAATTTTGATTATACAACAAACAAAATTTTATGTCAAGAACTTTGAACAACGTTAAGAGGACACTCAATGTCCCCACTCTGATGACGTTCAATTAGCTGTTCGAAAATGTCTCAAGATCTTTCTAAGATCCTCTTTGGATGTCTCGCCTGGCAATTTCCAAGGAACTGAACAAAAACACGACTCACAAAGGCCATAGTTCGCTATTGCCCACTTTGTGAATTGATGTCCCCTCGACTGTTTAAGTTGCCCACTGCTGTGAATAAGAATTCCTATGAATAAGAACTCCACCCTAGATGTTACCGCCACCTTAGCTCGCCAGTCATAAGCCACTTGGATCGTTTCATTACTTTTTTATGTTCTTATGCCTAGGAATGAGATTCCGGAATGCAGTCAGCTCCAGTAGGACGAATAGCTGAAGAGTTTCAAGCGGCCTGGAGAACGCATAAAGGTAGCCGGTCCTTCAAAGCTCATCGTTCTGTTTGGACTCGCTTGGTTAATTGATGATACTCCCTTATCCCCTTATTTTGACCCAGAAGAAGCTCAACTATTCAGCTACCTTCGATCTGCCTTTATCAATACTACCTGGTCTAAAACAGAGATGCTAGTTCGTCCCATTTTTATAGCTAGGAACTTTCTCGGTTAGATGCATAGGCGCCAGAGTAAGAAGCCCCAACG